ACACCGCTTTCTCTCTCAAACTTTCCCACTCCAAACTCGAGATTCAAGGCTGATCTTCACGTGTTCTTCCACTCTAGTAAGTATAATTCATCCTCCTTATGATTATTTCACTTCATTCTACTCAAATCATGAATATCTTACGCAAACTCCATCATAATTGTGTTAGATCTTTGAATCTTCAAGTGTTTCCTCAAGTGTTCTTTAGGTTGAACACTTTCCTTCTTCAACACTTATCTACTGAATCACTCAAGGTGAGTTCATACCCCTACATTTTCATGTTTTCTCAAGTTTTCATGGGGGGAATACAAGTTAAAACACTAAGAACATAACTAGATTTTTTCTAACAGCCTTCATCAGAAAAGTTCAACTCCATTCACGGACTGTTTTGGACATCTTAAACATTTTTGTTTTCAAAACTGTACAAGGTGCAAATAGTTTAAGTTTTTAGCTTTAAAATGGCTACTTGCACATCTCCATACGATTTTTCTACAATTTATGGCGATTTTTACAAAACTGCCTATCACTTCAAACAACAATCCGGACCAGTCTGTGATTATGGACTTTTTCACCCAAGTTAGAGGTCATTATGAATTGTGATAAAAATTATGAGCAAACTAGACACATTTTGTGAACTCTCAGAATTTACGGATCTAGTTTTCGACTTCGTATGATTTTTCTATGATTTTCCCAAAACAGGGCAGAATTGCTAAATTTTACCAAACAACATGTAAATATCATAACACTTTGTATTATGTTGAGCAAAGTGTATAATCATAAGTTTAATGTTTGAATGTGTTTTCCTAGTTAGTTTATCATTATGAACTGAAACTAAGACATTCATATTAAATATTATCCATTCATTTTGGAACACGTATTATTAACTATAAAAAGTATAGTTTGAATATATTACAACACTAATACATCTCCATAAAAGGATTCATACATATTACATACATTTTAGATAAACTATAATAGGTATAGTTTATGATACATCACTCTGCGCACTCGTACAAGAAGGGTACATCCATACAAGAAATATTTATATTCACACACATTTAACGTAAACTTGTTATCCTATATTGTGAGTTTCTCTATCTCTCCCGTACGTCCGAGTGCGGGATATAATTCCTGGTAGTTATAATCAGAATCTCCTTGAGGGAGAACGTGATACTTGTATATAGATCTATATTGGGATTGACACCCCACACCTTGCTGCTAGCTACAGTTGGACCTGCAGGTCTACGGGTGACAAATGTCATTTCATTTTTCGCGACACTGAGAACGTCGTGGCAGGTTCACATAGTCATAGTATGATTATAACGGCTCACATAGGGAACAATAAACTTGTTATCCTATATTGTGAGTTTCTCTATTTTTCGATCTCTATCTCTCTATCTCCCCGTACGTCCGAGTGCGGGATATAATTCCTGGTAGTTATAATCAGAATCTCCTTGAGGGAGAACGTGATACTTGTATATAGATCTATATTGGGATTGACACCCCACACCTTGCTGCTAGCTACAGTTGGACCTGCAGGTCTACGGGTGACAAATGTCATTTCATTTTTCGCGACACTGAGAACGTCGTGGCAGGTTCACATAGTCATAGTATGATTATAACGGCTCACATAGGGAACAATCCATAAGTTTACGGGATTTTATTTTTAAAACCTAAATGAGTTTTATGTCGATTTAAAATCACCTTTTATCTCTATGGGTACAAATACGAAGTACCGGGTCTCTATACAAAGCTATTATGATATTAAAACTACACATCCTCTAAAATTGTTAGACTTCAACTATAGTCGCTGAGCGTATATGTTGAGTCATATAAGAATTTAGTCTTGATTGGCCTAGAATTGGTGGTGCCCGCCTCATCTCCTGTTCCTCGTTGGGTTGTGGACCTAGGGCAGACCCACTATATTCAACGTTTTATCTAAGTTAAGCCTTATATAACTTTATATGTTGGACGATTATAGAGGAACTCTACGGATTACTCTAGGGTTCATTACAGCATCATGTAGGATTATTTCTATTCATACTTAACTAAGAAAATATTGGATTTTCTGGAAATCAAACTAAATCGATTTTACCAGGAAAAACGGTTTCTACTTCAAACAAAACTCTTATGAACTCACCAACCTTTGTGTTGACACTCTTTAAAACTACTTGTATTCTCAGGAAGTCAGTGAAACAGGCAAACTTCATCGCTTTGAGGATGGGACGCTAAACCGTCAACAAATTTATTTTGTCATCATAATGTAATTGCTTTTGAAACATGTAAACATATACTTTGGTGTAACTTTTGCAATTATATTTATGGTGGTTGTTTTTACTTTGAGCACTATTATACACGTTGTTGTGATACTGTACATGAAGTCCTCCACCCCCGGACGTTTCCGCCATCCTTGGTTTGGGGGTGTGACATGGGGTGTGACAGTTTATGTTTTAGTTACCTTTCAAACTCATTTACCAAGGGGTTTTCAGTTCAGTTCATGTAAATCTGTTAATGAAAAAATTGTGAGACATTCGCTTCCTGTTACCTTCAAGTAACAAAGTCAAAAGTCCTGTAAATTGTAACCACAGTCTCTTGTAGGGAGAACGTGATAGTTGTGTGTGTGTGTGTGTGTGTGTGTGTATATATATATATATATATATATTGGGTCTGACAAACCCACACCGAGCTGCATGCAACAGCTAGACTGACAGGTATGGAGTGACAAGTGTCATTTAACTTGCGACGCCTGAAGAATGTCGTATTACGAGGCCGTCTGAGTCATAGTATGGTTATAATAACTCACATGAGGTATTAAGAAAACATAAGGTTTACGGGTTTTACTTCTAAATTAAACGAGTTTATGTTGATTTAAACTTGCAGAAATTACTTTAAGTATGGAAAAACACTTGTACCTTTCGGTCTTGACTTTTAAGACTACAATGCATTTTATAAGAGAAAATATTGGATTTTTCTTGAACAAACATCACTTTTACAAAGAAAAGGATTTTAAAATCGCCTTCAAAAGCTTATGAACTCACCAACTTAACTGTTGACACTCTTTCAAAACGACTTGTATTCTCAGGAAATCCGTAAAACAGGTAATCGACCGCTTTTGAGGATAGAACGCTAAGACGTCAAACATTGTATTTTTGTCAACATAATGTAACTGATTTAGAAACATGTAAACTTATACTATAATGTAACCTTTTCAATTATATTTATGTTGGTTGTTTGTACTTTGACCACTATGATACTTGTTATGATACTACACATGAAGTCCTCCAACCTCGGACGTTTCCGCCATCCTTGGTTTGGGGGTGTGACAAAGACAAATGATACGGTCAAATGACAAAACAGATGACCAAGGCACTATTTCCAAAACCAATAACAATGCTCTGATAGATAGAGGAGCACGATCCTCCAATCAACACCCCTGATCTTGTTGCCTCTGGCGATCCTGTCTTGTACAGACGATCAGGAGCGCCTTGTATAAAAGGCTACGCTCACAGCCCCGACAGGTAAGTAGCCTTCTCCAAGTAATACTCCCAAAACCCTAATTCACTCAACTGATTTGACCATTAGAGCGTCTTTCTGGGAGCTCCTCCTGGGAAACGGCTGACAACCTTCTTTCCGTTGTGACCTTGTGATGCATGTATGGGCTATTTTTGGATGGAATAGAGAGAGAGAGAGATAGAGAGAGAGAGAGAGGTAGAAAACGAGATTGTGAGGGTAGAGAAGAGGATAGGGTTAGTTCTTACCTCAAGACCTATTGAAGCAAGAACTAGGTTGAATGCCAAAACCTATTGACACACAACACAACACACAATAAGAGACCTATCTTATATGAGAAATAGAGAAAATTGCAACAAGTTCAAGTGATCCTTTATTTATAGAAATCGGCCCTATATAGTTCATAGGATCCATGAGTTACAAAAGTGAAAAGGCTCATTATTAAGAGCCATGAGTTAAAAAAGTGAAAAGGCTCATTATTAAAAGCCATGAGTTACAAAAGTGAAAAGGATCATCATTAAGACCTTTTATTTAACTGGTTCATTAGCTACTAGCCAATAACTACTAGAAACTCTAAAAAAACTCTTCAATTTTCGTCCATGCTACACACAAGACTAGGAAATGTTTCAAATTTCTTCCATGCTCACCAACAAGTCCAAAAAAATGTGGTCATAACTTCCATGTAGCCAAAACAAATCGACCCACCCCATTTCAAGCCCAAATCCACGAAATCAAGCACACTCCAAAGCCTAAATTAGTAAAGCCTACCTCCTTGGCAAGTAATCCATTTTTAATTGGGCCATCTAGGTCCATACATATATCATCTCCTCCCCTTTGAAAGTAATTAACCTCAATTCCGTAAGGTCATCATCATCAAGATACGGGGAGAGATCTCCGACGTTGAAAGTTGTGTGCACTCCGTATTCTCCCGAGAGTTCCACCTTGTAGGCATTGTCATTCACACGTGCGACTATCTTGTAAGGACCGTCTGCTCAGGGCATTAACTTGTTCTTGCGCTTTTCGGGGAACCGTTCTTTCCTTAGATGAACCCAAACCATATCACCTTCTAAATATATCCGAGCCTTTCTGTTCTGTTGGACTTCTGCTTGTACGAGGCATTAATGGCTTCGATACGATCACGAACTTGAGCGTGTAGCTTCATCATGGACTTCAACTTGGCATCTGTGTCTTTGTGGACTAACTCTTCCTTGATCAAAGGGATTAGATCTAATGATAAGTAAGGATTCACGCCGTAAACAACCTCGAAGGGAGAACGACTTGTTGCGTAGGTAGGAGAACAATTGCAAGCAAACTCGGCGTGCGCTAATTTCACATCCTAATTTTTCTGTGTCTTGTTCACCAACCCATGTAGTAAAGTGCCCAAGGTTCGGTTCGTGACCTCGGTCTGGCCGTTCATCTGTAGGTTGTGTGATGTGTTGAATAAAAGCTTTGTCCCGACTTTCCTCCACAATGTGTTCCAACATTAACTCAAGAATTTGGAGTCATGATCAGAAACTATTGTTTTGGGAATCCCGTGCAGCCGGACGATCTCCCGGTGGTATAAATCAGCAGCCATACATGCATCATCGGTTTTGTGACAAACAATAAAATGGGCCATTTTCGAGAACCAGTTCACAACTATCATAATTGCATCTTTACCCCTTTGAGTTCGGGGCAGAGCCACAATAAAGTCCCTGGATACGTCCTCCCAGGGGAGAACTGGGACGGGTAAGGGAGTATATAAGCTCGGTTTGAATGAGCTTTTAGCCAAGTGGCACGTCAAACATTTGCTCACGATATTAGTTACATCCCCCAACATCTTGGGCCAAAAGAAGTGTTCTTTCAACACCTCCAAAGTCTTTACTACTCCAAAGTGTCCTGCTAACCCACCCCCGTGCGCCTCAGGAATCAATAACTCCCTAATGGGGTGTTTCGGGATGAAAAGACGGTTCCCTTTAAATAGGAATCTACTACAAAGTGTCCTGCTAACCCCCCCCAGTCCCCCGTGCGCCTCAGGAATCTACATCATTTACATAATAGTCTTCCAACGCCTCGAAGCCTAGCAAGCGAACATTGAGTGTAGCCAGTAAAGCGTAACGTCGAGATAGTGCATCCGCCACCATGTTACTTTTTCCATTTTTGTACTTTCCCAAGAACAAGATTAGGACTTGTGGGTTGATGAACAACCTGTTCCAATAACATGGCTTCCCAACTGAAGGTACACCACAAGAATAGGAATCCAAGCATTATGAACTCCCGCCCTCGTAACTGCTTGGAACTTGGAACTTGATGGGTTACTCCTTCTTCTAGGCTCTTAGAAAGAGAGTTTTTTATAAGATAGGTATCATCCTTCTTAACCACAACCACATTTTCGTGGTCAAGAACCTGTTCCACCTCTTCAGATTCTTCAACCCTTTCTTCAACAATTTTGTTTGTCACAACAAAATCTACTTCTTTCACAATTGTTTCAACAATTTCGTTTCCAGCCATGAAATTTATTTCTTCTTCAATTTCTTCATAATCATCTTCCCCATCAGTGTCATAGATAGGGCTAGACTCTTCAACAATTTATTCTCCAGGCACTAAGTTGATTCTTACAACAAATTCCCCTTCCCCATCGGTGTTATAGATAGGATCAGAATCTTCTTCCTCATCTTCTTCAATTTCCTCTTCCTCCTTAATGTCTTTTTCATCATACAACTTACGCAACATTTTTAGAGAACAATTTCTGAACAGGAATTGAAATCAAACAAACTTAGCAGGGATTTTTTTAAATAAGAACTCAACAAAACCCAATAGAAATTAGGCTCTGATACCACTTATGATGCGTGTATGGGGGGCTATTTTTGGATGGGGGAGAGAGACAGAGAGAGGTAGTACATGAGATTGTGAGGGTAGAGAAGAGGATCCCAATTCTTACCTTAAGACCTATTGAAGCAAGAATTAGGTTGAATGACAAGACCTATTGACACACAACACAACACACGATAAGAAACCTATCTTATACGAGAAATAGAGCAAATTGCAACAAGTTCAAGTGATCTTTTATTCATAGAATTCGGCCCTATATATAGTTAATAGGAGCCATGAGTTACAAAAGTGAAAAGGCTCATCATTAAGAGGCATGAGTTACAAAAGTGAAAAGACTCATCATTAAGAGTTTTTATTTAACTAGTTCATTAACTACTGTCCAATAACTACTAGAAACTCCCCAAAAATTTTCAATTTTCATCCACGCCACACACAAGACTAGGAAATAGTTCAAATTTCTTCCATGAGCACAAACAAGTCCAAAAAAAACATGGTTACAACTTCCATGTAGCCAAAACAAATCGGCCCAGCCCATTTTAAGCCGAAATCCACGAAATCAAGCACACTCCAAAGCCTAAATTAGTAAAGCATACCTCCTTGGCTAGTAATCCATTTTTAATTGGGCTATCTAGGTCCAAACATATATCACCTTGCAGGAACGATTAAACCATCGTACCGAAGTTCACAGAAATCTGAGACCAAGGTCACATCAATCATCCCGAGGATTTATCAGTGTGGTTTCGATCTACACATGCACAAAGTTATGGGCTAGACCAAAAAAAAGACCGAGACTAAATCGAAAAAGATCGGACCAAAAAAATATCGGCCGGAGATCGGTCGAAAAAAACCGAACTATTCCGAGACCGACACAAGACCAGTCTCAGACCGACCCTTCTCAGACTCGAGACTGGTAGCCAAAGTTTATAAACCTATTTTTATGTTAATTACACAATTTTTAATAATGAATTATCAAATTTTTTCTTTTATTAAACCGACCTGTATCATTTTTAATAAATCTTACTCTATCATTTTGATGTTAATCACATATTTATTAATGAAAAACTCGAAATCGGAATACAAAACCAAAAAATACCAAGACCGAATCGAATTGACACACGGAAAGACCGTGAGACCGGACTGAAAAAGACCAATCCCTAACACCCCGTTCCTGAGTTCAACTTAACGAGAGAAAGGAAAGGAAATGAGTGGAAATGAAAAGAAAATAAAAGAAATTGGTGTTCTCGAGTTTCATTAAAGAAGGGAAGTGGAATGAAGCGGAGGGAAATGGGAGGATCACTTTCCTCCTAACTTTCATTTTGATCTGGGAGGATTTGGAAAGAAAGAACAAAATGATTCATTTTCCTTCCACTTCTCTCAAACTCAGGAGCACAAAAGAAAATTTTGTTTTTCTTTCATTTCTCTTCTTTTCTCTCATGACTTTCTTTTCTCTTCTCTTCTCCTCTTTTGTTAAACTCGGGGAACAAGTCCTAAAAATACTAGACCTAAAAATACTGGCCCAAGACCATACTGGACCGATCAAAAAAATCGAGACATTTCCTTTTAAAGGGATGTTTTGAAACTTATTCGAGACCAACAATTGCATCTCTGGTTCAATCCGTTTGGCCCACTATCATTATATACTTATAAAGCTAGCATTTTTCCTTGCACCACATTCATTTGAAACTCTCATCTATTTTTCCTTTCACCACATTCATTTGAAACTCCCATGACTTTTCAATTTCTTTCTAATGATAATTATAATTTGGTTAATTAGGTTAAATAAATATCAAACCTAACATGTAATCATATATAAACTAAATTTCAATATTAAAATAATATATTTACTTCTACTAATAAAGTTACGTTTTGTAACATATAACATATTATAGTTAATTTATTAATTTTAATATATTGTTGGATGTAAATCATTATCATTTTAAAGATACAATTTTGGAACAATTTGTATAAAATACTTAAATTATTAATTTAAAGATAACATTACCGGGTCAACTTAAATATAAATTTTAGTTTAACTTAAACAACCCAAAGAATATTTTGTAAATAGTTAAAAATGATAAATTGTAGTGTCTTTCTAATAATTATTATAAGTTGTTTAATAAGGTTAAATAAACTAAATTTCAATTTTAAAATAATATATTTACTTCTACTTATAAAGTTATGTCTTTAACTTTTAACATATTATACTTAATTTACTACATTTAATATGATGTTAAATGTAAACCATTATCAGTTTAAAATTACAACTTTTGAACAGTTTGAAAAAAAATATTTAAATTGTGAATATAAATATAACATTACAATGTCAACTTAAATATAAATTTCAGTTTCACTTAAAAAACTAAAGAATATTTTGTAAATAGTTAAAAATGATAAATTATAGTGATAAATGCAAAAACTAAATTGTAATCTCAATTTAACTAAAATATTTCCTAATGATATTTTTATAATCATTAAAAGTTTTCAAATAAGTAACTTAAAATAACTTACAATAACAATAATTAAAAATAACTCTATATAAATTATTATATTGTTACCTTTAAAATCAAAAAACAATGTTTGATGTTTTAAATAATTATAATGATAGAAATTAGAATATTAAGCAAATAAATTTTAAAAGATTAGTTAACAATAACAACAACTATAAATAATATTAAGCCATAAATTATATTTAGTTTTATTCATGTGTAACTCGCGGGTAGAAGTCATTGAAACGATTGAGATTATAAAGTTATAATAAATGTGTATATTATCATATAATTCAAAATAATCAATATATTATATCAATCTAGTATACGAATTATTATATCAAATTTAACAACAACGTTATTGTTATATAAAAAAACATATATTTGTAAAGATTTCAACTGTATAGGTGTTTCTGCGCATTACAATGTGTGACAACCCCAAATCTATTCCCGTTACAAATCCCATTTTCACTAACGGAATGCGTCAACATACGTTATTTTATGTTATATTTGGAATCGTCAATATCCGAATACTAATTACATGCATGTCCTAAGATCATTATAAGCAATATAACTCGTACGTGTTAACCTAGTTTAACCTAATAGAGTTGTATTACTATTTCAACCACTTCACCCGGGTAAAAAGTTTTAACCCCGTTAAACTTTAGCATCGGGTAGCCGTGTATCGGGTACAATACCCGAGACATATAAAAATGCTTGAACACTACAATTGAACTCTTTTACCACACTTTCACCTCTCTCTCTCACTACTTTCTCTCTCTAGACCCGAAATCGACTCCAAATCCGCGAATTTCCGACTTCCAAACGTAAGGATTCATCCCCTAACTTAATCTAAACATACTTTACTGCTTTTAGAGTCCAAAATCATAAGAATCAAGGACCAAAAAGGAGTTTACGGCCTAAGAAGCTTCATAGGCCGTAAACCCCCAAAATCATGCCAAAAACTTTGTTTTTCCTTCCTTTAAGCTTATGGACTAGTTAAGGCATAAACCTAGGGGACTTTGGACACTAAAACACAAGGATTTGACATGTAAAAAGGAGTTTACGGCCCAAGCATGTGCTTAGGCCGTAAACACCTCAAACACCCCAAAAACACTTGTTTAATGTCCCAAAAACTCATCTAGGGTGTTTGGCAATTTAGACTTGACAACAAGGAAGGCTTAAATGCATCAAACAACATCATTTGATGGCAAAAAGAGGAGTTTACGGCCAAGGCTAAGCTTGGGCCGTAAACACCCATATTTTTGTGTCAAACAAGTCCCAAAACCCCTCAAATGCATGTAAGGATTTTAGCTAAGGCCTTTGGAAGTGTGTTGTACCATTAAACTTCACATTTGAGCACAAAATGAAGAGTTTACGGCCAAGGATGTTCTTGGGCCGTAAACTCCCCAAAAATGTATGCCAAATTGTCCCAAACTCACTATAGGGCCTTCTAGGATTTATCTAAGGTGTATGAGACTTTGTTGTACCATTAAAACATACATCTTGAAGGGTTTACTTGAGTTTACGGCCCAAGAACAAGTCTTGGCCATAAACTCCCCAAAAATGTCACAAATTATGATGTTTAATCCCTTATAATAGACCAAGACACATACCACTAAATTAAGGAAGTGAAATAAGACCCTAATCATACATTATGGAGTGCCACAAGAGTTTACGGCCAAGCCTAGGGGGTTTACGGCCGTAAACTCCCAAAGGATGGCCTTTGGGCCATAAACTCCAAAGGAGTGAGCTCGTGAACCCTCCCGTAAATCATTCATGACTTTGTACCACTCCCGGGAACCCCTTCTAGGCCTTAAAACCCCGAAAACGATGCTAGAATGTCCAAATACTATAATGAAAAGCATGAGATGATTAACTTCTTATAAAATACATATTTCATATGACATTAGGGTCCTAGGAGGTGCTCAAGTGGTTATTGGGTACCAAACACTCAATCGACACTTTTACCCGATTTACCCGATTCACCCGATTTCCGCGATTTCAGGTGAGTTCATACCCCTTAAATGAACCTTTCAAATGTTTTATATGTTTTAGGGGGGAGATACAAGTTGAATATACATGTTTATAAAAAGTTATACAAGACTATTTTTCAGATTTCATAATTAATCACATGTGATTCACAACCTGTAGTTCAAATCACATGTGATTTATCACTATGCTTTATAAATAAATCAATTGTTTTCAAAACTATCTTGGATTAACAAACAAGTTTTGAATGTTCCTTTCGTACAACACTTTTGTTTAATATAACTCTTTATAAGAATGTAATCATACTAATATATTTATATAAGTAAGACTTGAAGGACTTAGGACCGATAGCTCGCCTTATTTCCTGTTTCTTGTTTGATTGTGGGCTTAGGGTAGTGGTTATCCATCCGACTGTCATTGATTTTTTAATTATATATCTCGTATATTAGTACGGATTATGAGTATTTTTTTATTTCATTAATTACCTGAATCACTAACTTGATTAGAACCACACACACTAAATTAACTATAATGGGTATAGTTAAGGACTCTATCCCTTGTTTCAACTATTACTCTACACTACTATAATTCTCTCTATTATGAAACAATACACTAATAAGAGAATACAATACAAGTTATACGAAAGATTACTACACTATAATACAAGAGAATGCACTAATCATGAGATAATTCACTAATCCACTACGGGATACTCTATACGCTACACACTATGCCCGAAGTATTCCGATAGGAAGACGACACTATATGTATAGATCTATACGGGGCAGACGCTATTACATCCCGACTGATAACTTCAGTCCGAGCCGCTCAGGCCCAGGGATGCCTTTACTCTACTACACTATGCATGACTGGGAAGGTCATGGGTATCCGCTATTACTCACACTATTGGGAACATACAAGAAAGACACTATAACCGCACTAAAATACTAAAAGAAAGATGAAGTAATATCCCGAAGTAAATAAGTATCTAATACTAAAGGATGCTGCACCACTATTATATACTCCAAGAATAACTCACTATATTACATTACTTAATGGTGAGTCACTATAACACTTCTATGATAAATGGCATTCAAAGATAGAAATAACATATTTCTTAAAGATTTTCATTTACTATACAGTTCTGGAAAATACGGGATTTTCTAGGTTTTACCACTATTTACAATTTCAAACTTCAGTTTTCATGCTAATGACTCTAATGCTTTTTATACAAGTACTCACACTAAACTCTTATGAACTCACCAGCTTTATGCTGATATTCTTTTCAAAATAACTTGTATCTTCAGGTCAAAGATAGACAGGTACAGCCGCAGCATTTTGGAGATGATGGAGGATGCAAGACCCATCTCTTATTTTTGTTTACTTTTGGTGTTGGTCAAACATTACAAAACACACTTGTAAATACACTTACTGTGTAAATGAAATGGTTGTATGTTTCTTGCTTTTACTATTATACAATTGTGATGATACTGTACACTACGTCATCCACCCCGAAACGTATTCCGCCGTTATCGGTTTTGGGGTGTGACACAATGTCAACTTTAATATAAATTTTAGTTCCACTAAAAAAACCAAAGAATATTTTGTAAATAATTAAAAGTGATAAATGAATAAAAACTAAATTGTAATCTCAATTTAACTAAAATATTTCCTAAATGTATTTTTATAATTGTTAAAAGTTTTCAAATAAGTAGTTTAAAATAACTTACAAAATGTATTTAAAAATAACTGTATATAAATGATTATAATGTTACCTTTAAAATAAAAAAATAATGTTTGATGTTTTAAATAATTATAATGATAAAAATTAAAACATTAAGAAAATAAATTTTTAAAAAATTAATTAATAATATCAACAACTATAATCAACATTAAACCATATATTATATTTAATTTTATTCATTTGTAACTCACGGATAGAAATTATTCAAACGATTGAGATTATGAAGTTATAATAAATGTATATATTATCATATAATTTAAAATAATCAATATATTATATCAATTTATTATGAAAATTATTATATAAATTTAACAACCTTATTATTATATTTAAAAAAGGAAAGATATATCTATATCTATATTGGTTATATAGGTGTTTCGACGTTCCGTTAGGATTTTTAACTGTGCGAGCACGGGAGAAGCGAGCGCCTACGCACCTGTATTTCCATCACAACTTTTTCCATCGCCTCAGCAATAAAAAAAGTCCACTCTAATTTTCCCCATTCTGACTTCAGACAAGTACCCAATTCAATCAGAAAATCGACGAATCTCCCACATAGATACATCGTCAACGATGGCAGATGAAGAAGAACATCAAGAAACAGAGCTCAGCGATAATCAGAAAATCGACATTGCCAAATGGTTTCTCCTCAATTCTCCCCCCGGTGAAATCCAATACGTCGCTAAAGGTACTGAATATCTTCCTTTAAATCTCAAACATGTACTACAAATTTTCTGTTTTTTTTTTCCTCTAATAATTACAGTTTCTTTGGTACAATATCCTTCCTGATTCTTTTCTGTGGGGATTTGTAGATCTAAGATCGGTTTTAAGGGATGACAATGCGTATCAAATGGCGGCTTCAGAGGCATTCCCCTTTTACAACAAAACGCATATTATTTCGCTCCAATTCCCAGATCGAAGTGGCGATGTATGTCTTTTCTATGTTTGTAGTTGATAATTTTTCCGCAAAACCCTCACATTCCATATTGCATCATAAAATAATTCTGAAATCTCCCGTTAAAAAGAAAGAAATCACTGGTTGACCTAATTCTCATAGTTTACAAGTTATGAACATGATCCAAGATATAAACAACTTGTTGATGATTACATGATAAACCTAATTGAAACAACTCATAGAGAATATGCAACTAAATCTAGAACTCTTCAACATTATGTTTATCACTATCTAATACTCAAGGGTCCATGCATGAAATGAGCTTGAACTTCAATAAATGTTTGAGTTTCAAACTAAAGCAAAAGAATTAACGATGAATGATGAAAATGACCAGAATTTTGCTAATAAAAGTGTTTTGTGATTATAAGTAGAGTGTTGGGGTGGCAACATCATGAAGAAAAGTGCGAGTGAAACTTACTATAGAGAGATTATAGTAACAAATGAAGCTGATATACAACTCACAAAAGGCTCTGGACTAGAGTATTAATGATTTTCTCTTAAATCTCAAGAATTCATTGTCCCCCAAAATATAACTTCTTACTAATTGAATAGTACATGACATCTGAAGAAGATCCTTAAACTGTTGTTTTTTGGTGTATAACCAATGTGTCTCATATTTTGCTCAATTAGTTCACATGCATCATGCAGAAAACCTCCTTTATATGGAAATTAAACTTTAGACCTTCCAGCCATGGGCTGTAGTCTTTAACAAGATGATAGCTTGACATTAAAATGTTAATTTGATTTGTCAACAAAATGTACCGAAAGAAAAAAATCATTTTGTTGATTGCATTTGTTAGTCAAGCCAACTCCTTTAGATGTGCCTCATACTCCTCACTCTAATATTTCTGCCGTGATATTTCTATTACTTAACAGAAAGAAAAGCATAACGTAAGACAACTGATAAACAAAAGATAACTAGTTTTTTTCTAACCTATTCGATTCCCATCTTTCTTCTAGTGATTATACGGTATATGTGATCTATGGATAGTTATCATATTCTATAGATTGCTTTGCTCATTTAGCATGGTTGTGTCATAATGTATTGGTTGGAAGTGGGTGGATACTATTAAAATGAAACTACATGGTTTGTGTACGTATAAGGTTTGATTGGCAGAGGCTATATACTCGGATGTATAGTAAGGATTATGATGAAAAGCTTGGTCCACACGCCAAAAGTCTACCAAAATGACATAAGTTATAACAACCTCTGGTTTTGGATGAGTCATCTAAGACGTGTTGTCTTGAGTTTAGTTTTTTGTGTTTCTCCAAACCGTAAAAACTTCCGTGATGATAGATCACTCAGTACTTTTCTTGAAAGAAAATGGTCACAAACAATAATGTTGCTGTTATATGCTGCCAACATACTTATTGTTGGTGATGATTCCAAAAGTAAATTGCTACACTCACTTCTTTAATTCAAAGAAAATTCATTCTAAAAATCATGAGAGTTGTAAGTATTCGAAGTTGTCACATCACCCTACAAAGATCATCTGTTGGCAAAACCACTACCAAAAGGTCATACAAACCCTCTTGATGACATGTTTGGTGTTCTTGATATATATATATATATATATATATATATATATATATATATATATATATAGGGAAAAGTTCACTAGAGAACCATAATTATTGGTTCTTCAAGGAACCAAATCTTTTTTTCAATTTCTAGAGCTTATTATTTATCGAAAAAAAATCTAAAAATATCTAAATTCATATATTAACGTTGTGAATGTGAAAGATTCACATTGTGAATTTGACGTAAAAAAAAATCGAATTTGATATCATTGAAAAAAGGATAAAAAGTTATGAATTTCTGTATTTTTAATTTTTTTTTGATAAAAAATAAGTTCTAAAAGTTGAAAAAAAGATTGGTTCCTTGGTTAATTATGGTTCTCTATTGAACCTCACCCTATATATATATATATATATATATATATATATATATATATATATATATATATATATATATATAGTGCTTTGTTCTCGGTCAACAGCACACTAATGTGACGTTATAAGTGTTTGACAGCAACTTGAAGAAAGAAGAAGATATGTGGAAACGAACTCTAATGGGGCTTAAGTAAAACGGAAATACAAGATATGAATTTCCACCACTCTAATGTTTTAAGGAACAAAAATCCACCAAATTAAAGATAAAGGAATCAGGAATCCACCTCTCTAATCTACTAAGGATATTAATTGATCAAGATTGAAGACAAAGGGAACACTTCAAACCACCAAGATCAAAGGTGTGTAAAGAACATGAAGATTTTGGCAAAATAGAGATAACTCCGAATTCATAATCATCTTAATCTGATTGATACATGGCTGGAGCCTCTAATATTTAGAGAAAAATCAAATATAGAATCTGGTCAAATTACAAATCTAAAAGATAAAGATTTGTCACAAAAGTTGGCCAATAATCAACAGAATAAGTTTGCAGCAACTTGCACCAAAACAGTAAAATCCAGCAAAAACATCAATCTTTCTTTCAGAATAAGTTTTCAGCAACTTGCACCAAAACATCAATCTTTCTTTCAGAAAAAGTTAGCATCTTCTTTTGGACAAATTTTTTTTTGTCTCTTTTTAATATTTGATCTTGCCCCCCCCCCCCCCCCCCCCCCCCCCCCCCTTCAAAATCAAGGCTAAAATGGCTGGAAACTTGACATCATTCTTCTAAGATAATTAATTGCCTATTCGTTCTAAAATCACATACATATCATGTACATGTGATGTGATTATGAAAAGCGGATACTTTACGAAAATGACTCCTAAGCCAAGTTTTGAAGCAAGGTAACTCCTTTGTTGAAAAAGGATTTTGCCCAATAGCTTCTCAAAATGTGATATAGTAGGTAAGACGACAACCATTGCTTGACTTGTCCACAACTTCCTGAAAAAAGAATTGTGTTCTAAATTACAGCTTCAAAGTATTCCATTAGTTGAGAGAATCGTTCCTTTAATGTGTGTTTTGATAGTTTCGAGATAGTATGTTACTAATATAAGGCTTTTGCACTATTTTCTCCATTCCACAACATTATGCACTAGATTCACTTTCACTAATTATGCAAAACGTTTATTAATAACATGGCGCGGTTTCATGCTTTTTTGTTAGTTTGTGTTGGTGTGTGGCTTTTGTTTTTGTATTTGTTTTGTTTGTTGCATTATAACTATTGGGATATTAATAGTTATAACTTCTTGGCTAGCTAATTTCTTGAATGACATTCTTATATTCAATACAAGTTGAAGTTTGTGATCAATGAATAAGGTTTTGGAGATTATGCCCATGCAATGCGATCTCTAATTTGTTTCTAGTTAGAGTTTGATGAGCGGGTAACTAGTGTGAATTGATTTACTTAGCATATACCATTTGTGAATTATTTATTTACAAATAAAAAATAACTTGGTGATGTTATATTTTTGCAGTCATTTAGAGCATAGTATAGCTACTGATGTTGACACTCTGCCAACTCTCACTTTCACTCTGTGTGACACTATCTTTGCAGGTGCTGGTTTCCTCGTTTAGCGAGATCAGTGAGGATGAATATCTTGATCCTAGGACTGCACAAGTTGGTAAAATTGACCATGTGAAACAAGTAAGTGCAACATAATATTATCTGTTTGCTGCTAAGTTAGAGATATTGATGATATGTTTCAAAGTTGGCATTTAAAAAAAATTAATGCCAAAATATCCAGCAAATTAAGTTGCTCGAGTGTTTTGCATGAAAGCAAATATATTCGGCTTCTCATCAAAACTATAGGTAATTACCTCCTACATTGTGTGATTGACTTCAATAATAGTTCATTTAGTCAAATGCAGAATGATTAAGTGCAAAAAATAGCAACTCAGCCATTTAAAAAAAAATAAGGCTGTCTTTAGTTTGTCAAATGTTTTTGGAAGGATTGGAATTTTTTAAAAGGAACTGGAATCTATAGGAATCCGTCAGCCGCCCGGTTGGTAGGAAATGGCTTGAAATTAATTATAAAAATCAAATAAATTTTGAATTTTTATTTATATGCAAGTAATTTTCATTTATTGTGTGTGCATATATATATATATATATATATATATATATATATATATAATGAGGGTATATTGGTTTTTTAATATAGAATATAAAGAATGTAATTGAATTCTTTCCACGCTCCCCAAGAAATGGTGAAATCCATCTAACATGGAATCTGAAGGATCCGATGGAATTGAGTTGCGTCCATTTGGCAACAAAGCACACCATTGAAACACACCGTAAGGGTGGAGGGAGTCCATCCCTCTCAACCCACTCAACCCACTGCCACATCAGCTCCACATCAGCTTTTCTCCCTCCTCTCTCTTCCATCTTTCCTAACCCACAACACATGGAAACCCTATCTTTCCCAACCCACTCAACCCGCCACATCATTATTTTTAATAATTAAAAAATACAAATTAATATATATATATATATATATATATATATATATATATATATATATATATATATATATATATATATATATATAGACACACACACACATGATATGGGCTGCGGAATGGATTGCATGAAGATTGGATGGAGCAACTAGATGGGCCAAATGCATATGTGTCTTCCGGATGACATAACCTAATATCACATTATATATTCATTTAAAAAGAACAGCATACACATTTTCTCTCTGGCGATTTAGGGTTTCTATTTCTTCATCTTCTTCGTTTTATTAGATAGTGAGATTTTAGTCTTGTAAATCTTTTTAGTGTATTTATTGTGTATTTGTGCTGTTCTATTTTGATACGACAGAAAGAGTAGAGACTAGAGAGGGAAAGATTCACGGGTTTGTGAACCCGTTCCAGCTTCATCATTCTTGCATCCCGTTCTACCCGCTGGAGAAGGAACCACAAACTGGTGGTACCGCCCAAGCCAATCTATAACCTGCATTCGGCCTTAGGAATTGGAATTAAATTCCAATGAATTCCAGCGAGGCGTGGGGAATTCAATTCCATTGAAATACAAAGAAATAGATAACCCAATAAAATGAATTCAAGAATTCTTCCTAAAACCCATGAAATTAAATTCCATCATCATATAGCTTCTTTAAATGACACACACACAGTTACCCATTAAACCTAATAAATTAAATTACAAAATAAGTATTAACCTAGTATTTCAGAATAGAAGTGACTTCCATCGTTGTCACCCAACCCATACTCAATCCCTGCATCATCTATTCTACATTAGTTCTCCCTCAACTCAACTCAACTCAACTCAACTTGTTCTCTCTGATTTTCTGATACAGGTAACACCCGTCCCACACTAAAATCTTGACCAACTGTAATATATATATATATATATATATATATATATATATATATATATATGGTTCTCTCTAATCTTTTTGATACAGACGTAAAGTCTTCTGTTTTCCAGATTTGTTCTCTATTTTTGTAATCTTCCATACCATCACAAATTGGATTGTAATTTTTTCAATTTATAAAGTGATCAATGCATGGATCATGAAAGCCCAAAATGTGGTGGATTATTGATTACTAATGGGCTAGAAGGTGGTTTGGGCTAAATGGTTGGGTTGTACGTGGTAACCCACGTATCAGATTAGGGTTGCATGAAGGCTAGGGCAACGTTTTTAAGGCATCTTTAATGCTAAAAACCGTTACTTTTTGCTTCATAAAGCCTCCTAGCTGTTTTTGACAATTAGGGTTCACTATTTGTCATAGTTGAGACGTGTTATTGACTTGATACGAATTCAATCCAATAGGTCTTGGATTGTTTTCACCTGTATACAACTTAATAGGTCTTGAGTTACTAATCTATCAATTTCTTTCCATACATTTGTGGTGGTTATTCTAACTTAATTTACCTAAACACTACCCTACTCACTAAATCAAGCCCATACATGCATCATAAAGATGGAAGAGGCTAGGATTGAGTCAAGGCAGAACTACAATGGTTATGGTTGTGATGCTCCGTGTTGGTGCCAAGATTGGGAGTTTTAAAAATGGGAATTGTGTCCATCCTATTAAATAAAACAGCTAAGAAAGTGTTTGACATGACGAACAATAGCAGCTGTTTCTGGGACTTTCTAACAGAGACTGAAAATCTATTTCTTCTCTTATTATTAAGTGTTGAATTTTTTATTGTTTAAGTAATTTTTTTGTAATTTGTCATCGTATACATTTACCTAGTTTATTACTAAAATTTTAAACCAGAAGTAGTTATTACAATTTAAAAGTTAATATATTATAGATATCTCTTTTCTTATTTAAAAAAGTTTTTTTGATGAAAAGTTAGAAAATAGTAATGTTGTCAAAGTCACATTTTAAATTCCGAATCAATTGACAAAAGATACAAACCAAATAGAAAGATAAAATAGAATGAAACTGAAATTCTTTCCGTTTCTGCCAATCAAAAGATTGGAATTCCTTCAAATTCCAATTCCCACGACAGATTCTAGATCCTTCTAAACAATCAGTCGGGTAGCATAAGATTTAGAGTGATTAGAGGCTATTATTGTTAGCATAGTTATGAAGTCATCAGCTGCTGCCATTAGGATTAGAGTGGAGGGCAGAAACGCAACTCAGTTACTTTCTGCTTGGTTCTTGAAATCAGTTAGTAGCATAAGATTTCCGGAATTTTTGTATTCAGTGAATTCTATTCTTTCATGCTCTCTTAATATGTTTCTGTTTTGGAAAAAATACAAAAAATATTGGTATGAGAGGGAGGGAGGGAGGTTTCTGTATAATTGCAGGCACTATTTATTTAAGAAGTAATTTAATAGATGTAAGTGCTACATTACACTGAATCCCTTACTATATCATAAGGTAAAAAAGTAATGCTTCTTTCATCCCAATTATGTGATACGTCTCTTATCGAAAGCATGATGAATTAAATGATGTATATGTATTGATGCCTAGGGAAAGTAATTTATTTGTTTCGTTCTTCACTTGCAATATATATGATGACATGCTAAATTGGTTCAGATCTGTACAGATATAAGACCAGCTAAAGATGAGGAACTTCCAACCCCCTACATAGAAGAGTACCGGTAACCCACCTCTTGTCTAGATATCTGTAACCTTCTTGTCTAGATTTCTTTGAATACGCCTTTCTTTTTGAGTAGTGTAGTGTTGATTGACTCATGAAAATGAATCCACACGATGTTAGCAGTACACAATCATTGTCATTGTGCAAAAAAGATGTGTGATGTAACCACCCTAAACCTTGAGTTGAAAAAACATGGTAGAATGTTGTTCTTCAGTATGAGGAAATAGGTTGTTATTTGAAGTGTATATGGTCTCGTAATTCACAGTTATTTTATATTACTCCTTCCAGTTCGGTTAGTTACTAGACTTTGACTCGTGTGTGAACTTGCCTTTTCATTGTTAGTAATCAATCTTTGATTTCCCTTGTGCTTAGAAACTGTAAAGATCAGTAGTGGACTGACTTACTGAAGCAAGTAATAACAAGCAAAGTTTGTTGAGGATTTGTTGTTTTGTACAAAATGGTGTTTGTATTGCAGATGTGCACTGGATGCAGAAGTGTGTAAGTACGTTGCAGAAGCTTACCCAAAAGGTGTCTGCTCGGTTTACTGTATCAGTGGAAAAGATGTGGAAGAACCTGGATCTGATTTTGAACTTGTCGTCTTGATTACAGCTACTCGACTCAGCCCTCAAAACTTTTGGTACATAACACGTATTACCTTATTTCTTCTAATTAATTAAATTCTTTATTCTTGCTTTTTCCCCTTAATTATTGTTTTGATTCTGTTTATCTGGGAAACTAATCTTATATATGTTACTGCTTTCATCTTTTACCTTATTATTAGTAATGGAAGTTGGCGCTCAATATGGAACATTGAGTTCATGGATGAATTACAAACTGTGGAAGTAAGAGGAAAAATGCAGGTATCGTTATTCTTTGTCCATAAAAGATAAAATGGTTTTTGCTTTTTTTTTTTTTTTTTTTCCTGAGAAAATAACCGCACATGTGGTGAAATGGAAGGAAAAAATAAATGAGGACAAAGTTTGAACTTTATGGGAAAGCTTGATATTCTTGACTTTCTTTGTTAAGTCATTCTTTCTGCATCAAGTAAAAAAGGAACATGTACAATACATATAGCTCTCTGATTTAATAAGTCCATTAAGTAAGTTAGAAAGAAACAGTAGCTTAGTGTTATGTTGTGCATGCAATGCAGGTGGGTGCTCACTATTTTGAAGAAGGGAATGTCCAGCTAGAGGCACAACATGAATGCAAGGATTCAACTATGTTCCAGGTTGCTATGCCAACTCACCTCACCTGCATGTGGTATTCTTTACCTTGACCTTGGGGTTTAAGTCCATAAAGACCCCTTTCTGGACTAACGGGACAAAAGTTGTCCCCATGGAAAAAGATGGGACAAGGGCTCGTCTGTGCAAAAGACTTGAATGCCCTCCTCATCCTCATCAAAGCTTTGTCCAGCTGAAGAACTATATGCTGCTAGTTGTTGTAGGTGATGGTGATTCATTCTTTCTGCATCACCATAGAATCTGTTAAGTCATTCTTTCTGCATTAAGTAAAAAAGTAATCTAGGTGGGGTGGAATGCAGTACTAAAATGTAGGTAGGACCGTAGGATGCAATGTTATTGAAAGCAGAGCAGATGAAGGGTGGATGGGTCCATGACTCCATGTAGACATAATCAGTTCCTAAACTGCTTTGGGTTCCATCTAATTGTGTTATTAAGTAACACTTTAGCAGATTAAGGCCCTGGTAAGTGTTGTCTGAATAGATTTGGGGGCAAAAAACTAAGAGCAAATTTGAAAAAGATTAGGACTTAATGGAGAAAACCTTCTTTCTCTGGTTTATAACTCTTACTTTCCGCATTAAATTTTAATTTTTAATTTTTTATTTTTAAGAACAGCGATGAATTTTACAAATAAAAATAATCACCGGGGAAGTGGTATAAGTCCAAAGAGTAAAGAAGTAAAGAAGTTAGTTACATAACCAAAACATGAGGCATAGACAATACAATGCCGCCAACAAGTGCTAGTTCCCAAAATATGCAATGAACTTTGAATTATGAAAGAGGCCAGAGCACCAACTTGATGGAAAATACTGGTTGCCAAAAACAACATCTTTCAACAACCTACTTGCTCCATTCAAATGAAACCTTTTGCTTTTCTTTCTGAATCTGATTTTAAAATTTCACTCATTGATGACCGACTGACCAAATAAGAGATTACAGAAAAGCTGGAAGTTATAGCGCTTTCATTTGCCTGTCGGTGTCGGTCTATTTATAAATATGTTAATGGACCAACTGCATGTCTTTTTTCTCTTCAGTCAGATCAAATATCCCAAAATGTGATCCCTATGGCAGTGTGTCTTTATTTATACTATAGTACTATCTGTGATCATTATTAGGTTTGTTTCTTGAAATCCTTCCTGTTAACGTCTGCCCTGCTGTGTGTCTTTACAGTCTCCTGACGATTCTTCTTTTTCATTGGCCAACATTATTCGCCACCATGAGACGGAGTATATGAGTTCTCTTGAGGTGGGTGGTCTTCACTTCCTACTTTAGTTACCATTCATTTAACATGATTATTCCTGACATTTCATTTGCTTGCATATTGGCAGACATCTTATTCCAATTTGCCAGATTCCACATTTAAGGTACTCACTCATTTATGCGTTCATTAATCTATTCTGTTAGGTATATGATTATTATTTACCATTATTCAAAAACATTGTTTCATTATATTATATATGTTGATGTTGACTTTAGACCCAACTTAAGTGAACTTGGTCCTAGAAAAAATAAATGTATCCTTTTAAGATGAATATATATATTTTGTATTTGGTAAGGTAGAAGAGGATATAAACATGGTAATTGTACATCCTGTCTGTTTGCAGAATGCTGTTACTTTATTAGCTACCAACAATAATAGTCAAAGAAAACAATATATGTGTGTGCTACATAATATAAAAAAACCGCTATACCACAGTATTTCAAATCATGTGACTGCTGTTTAATATTTTAAATTTTTTTTTGTTAACAAGAAGCATGAGTAAGCAGTTTTTACTGTGCTGAGCATTTGATAATACTTGTCGTTGGATCTTTTTCTGATGCAAATGGGTATAAGGATAAGGGGTAAGTTAATGGTATGTTCAATGGCTCGAGTAGGAGTAGGAGGAAGCCTTTGTGGTGCATGGTGGCAGGATTACTAGTGGTGTTAAAAGGATTGAATGGAGTGTGAGAAATAATAAATTGTATGAAGGCAGGGAAGCATAGTCGTTTACTTTAAAAAATCTATTCAATTCTAGCATTCTAGTTTTAGTAATTATAGCACGGAAATGGATGATAGGTTGAGGAAAAAGTAAGTTATTATTTGTTGCATTTAAGATTTGTTTCCAAATTGTATGTGACGCAGGATCTGCGTAGGAAGCTTCCAGTTACGCGGACATTATTCCCATGGCACAACACCATGCAGTTTAGCCTGACAAGAGATATCACAAAGGAGCTCGGAATCGAAAAATAGATTGCATCGAGTTTTAGTTGCATGGCATGTTACGTTTGCTTTTGATTTTTGGATCAACTGTGTCTGTTGCTATTATGTCTTTTTCAGAGTGTGACGTTTGCTTGCTATTCATTCAATACTTATCCGTTTCAGTATCCTTCCACAAATCAATTTAGTAAAAGAATATATTTTCATGTTTGTTGTGCAAAGTGCCCACTACTCTTAATGATTTGGTGTTGGTGTTATTTTTTGTTCAATAACTCAGGGTGGTTACGTGGTCTTTTTCGTAGGTCTTAGTTTAGTTCTCTGAAAAATTGAAATTGAAGTTAAAAGTTTTGGTCGTCTTATTTAATTTTCGCTATCACTTCAATTATTTAAAACTCTCGATATAAAATCATTAACTATTGAATTTTTGTCACTGAAAATGATTGATAAAATTCTAGTTACTTTTCGAATTTTGTTCCCATTATAATCTTTTTTTCTCTGGGTTAATGTATTCTACATTTTTCTGCTTTGATTGGCCCACGCTTTTAGTAAATCTTTTTATGTGTTTGAAAACATGCGGTTTGGGTTTTTTGTTGCCTTAAGTTCATTATTAGTCTCATCAATTGTGAAGAATAAAAGGACCAAATGCAAACCCTTGTAGCTGGTAAAAAATGCAAACCCTTGTAGCTGTAAAGTGTGGTAAACTTTTTACCTGATGCTACTAGATTTCTTCCCCAACAATCAATTCTCTGCCTATGAATTTATGTATTAAGGTATGGTGCCATCGGTAAAGAGAAGAGTAAAAAGAGGGTAAAGAAGATAGAATAGAGAAAGAAAGAGTCTCAATGAAAACGGTGGAAACATACCGTTGGCATTTTACCCCCGGTAAAAAGGAGGAAGTGGTGCGGTAAGGGTGTTAAGACACCCCACAACCTTATATTCTACACTAGGTTGTGTTACATAGAACTGCAATTTTGAGTGTTGAGGTGTCATAGTGAACATGATCCTTAACCCATATGGAAATTCCTTTAGAAATTCTGTAACTTTCAGAAGAGCAAAATGTGGCTTTGCTTTTGCCGTCTTACAAATCTTTAACAAAATAAGAAATAAAATTAGTTTTAAGAGCAGAGGAGTTTGGAACTTAAATTAAAAAAAAGAACTTTTTCTTATAGAGAATTACCCTTAGAATATATTGTTGGATCTTGGTCACAATTATAAACAATAAACACCAATAATCAATCATCCACCATAATAGAGCCCCTCTATAACCACCGCTCCTCAAATTCAACTCTGAGTGAATCCAATCACCAAGCAAGAAAAAAAAAACAAATATATGTGTATATTCTTCCTTTTGATTGACAGTATAAGAAAGTTAAAGAACATTTCTTACCTTTTATTAGTAGAAAAAAAATTACCAAAGAGAAATTAGTCCACTTTTGTTTTTTGTTTGTTTTTTTAAACTAAATGCACAGGAGTTATCATTTTTTACAACAATAATTATTAATGTTATTATCTTATAACTACATAAATTTCTAGATTAATTCTAATTCAAATAATTACACATTAACCCCTCATCGTTATTAGCTTCTAACTAATTCACCATCTCTTGACTAGTCGTCCACAAGATGTTATTGCTAGTTAGAGTTGATTTATGTTTTGTGTGTAACAGAGTAGGCTTATACAATGTAATAGTGACACTAAGTTGTAGTGTCATTATGGTTTTGCATCTCTCAAGACAAATACTGTACCTAAAACTAGAAGGTATAACACAACCCTAGTAAGTGATGTAGTATCCATTTATAACAATTAGCAATTTTAGGTCAAAGTTCGTCGGCAGAACCATCGCGAATCCTGTTGTATTAAAACCTAATGTATGTAATTTAGTGTTAATAAAGTATATTAAATATATAATACTCATAATCACTTTCAGAATGCTTCAAACTGCTCAACAAACTGTCTATCACTAAGGATCGAAACAAAAATCTCAAAAATTGATACTATTTGTGACGCTAAAAATAAATTCTTGCATCGAGTATACCTAGGACTAATTTGTGATCAAATTTGGATTGATTATACTCTCATGAATTTGTAGATATAAAGAACATAAAAAATAGAGGTCATATGCAGAAGTTACGTTTGTTTTAAGAAACCAAATCAGTATTAAGTATAATACTGGTTTTCTTAATAAACGAAAACCGAATTAATCCGTTGAGGTACTTGCCCATATCATATGGGAATTCCGAGAACGTTTTTGAACTCATATGTCTAATATTTGATTTCATAATCATAATTTTTTTAACCCATAAATTTATCAATGTCGCGAAAAATGTCCAATCAAGACGAATTAGAAGCGAAACTTTAAACGTCTTTTACCGTAGGTTCCGTCTGAGTTATTGGAATCATCATACCCGAGACTATCATTCGCCACCCTTGAAAAAATTATTGGATGTTTGGAATTTGGCACATGAATCGAGAAAGGCATTTTGTGACATTTTTTATGTCACAAGTGTGACATTACTTTGTTTGTACCTTTAATCCTACACCTAGACAAAATGATCAACCATACAACTCCCATGCACTCATTCTTTCTTTTACTCCCACATTTTCTAAACACACTATCACACCCCAAAACCGGACCGGTGGAAACGTTCTGGGGTGGATGACGTCATGTCAAGTATCACAACACATGCATTATAGTAATCAAAGTACAACAAAACATTGCATTAATAGTAATAGTTTTACATGGTTACATCAATACATCAAAGTAATACAATTAATCGAATAGATACAGCGCAGTACTAAGCTATCTTCACCAACAGCTCCGAGATGTACCTGTCTAATGCTAACCTGAGAATACAAGTTATTTGAAAAGCGAGTATCAGCATTTTTACAAATGCTGGTGAGTTCATAAGTATTTAGTGACATTTCATTCAAATAACTTCATAAAGTAATAGTTTAAGTGTTACAGTGTATTAGAGTTCTTTCCAGAAAATCCTATATTTTCTTTAATCAAAGTAGCCTTCTACCAAGACTGGTCAGTGTTATGTGGTAAAAAGTGGTTTTCCCTTAATTGCTATCATTATCAAAATACTGAATTTGATTATTAAAGAAAGCAAGAGACGACAGGGAAATAACATATGCCTCAGCTGTAGGACTGCTGACTAAGGCAAAGGAATCATAGACTCTAGGAGAGTATCGAACGAACGACACGCCTGGCTCAGTCTAACAAATAGAGACACAGATCCCAGAAGGTACCAAATGGAAGGTACAACTGGTAAGGCCCAAAACAGTGAATACAGACCGCAAGCAATATCGAATGAAAGATACGTCTAGCCAGGTCTAAAACAGTGAATACAGTGGATACAGACCCCAAACAACATCAAATGAGAGATACGTCTTGTAGGGTCAAAACAGAGGAGACAGACCCCAGACAGTATCAAATGAAAGATACGTCTTGTAAGGTCAAAACAGAGGAGACAGACCCCAGACAGTATCAAATGAAAGATACGTCTTGTAAGGTCAAAACAGAGGAGACAGACCCCAGGCAATATCAAATGAAAGATACGTCTTGTAGGGTGAAAACAGTGTGACTCTGAAAATGAATTACCAGCATACAGTGTAAATTGCTGGCGAAATACCATTACCTTAAGGCCATGAATTATAAGGTAACCCGGGATACTTGTAACCATACTAACTAGAGTATCAGACGCCCTACAAGCGTCTAAGATATGGCATTTGTCACCCGTTGGCTTGGTAGGCCGGGACTGTAGCTAGCAGTCTGGGTGCGGGGTTGTCAATCCCGTATAGATCTATACACACAATGTCCGTTCTCCTTATAGGAGATTTTGGTTACCAACTAGATGACGGAGAAGGCCGTGTCCTGAAGAGGCATCCCAAATAGTGGGTAGAGACTTCCAAATAGTGGGTAGTGTGTAAGTGCTCAACTAGCAGTAGAGACTTCCAAATAGTGGGTAGTGTGTTTCTAATGTAAGTGTAGACTAGAGGTAGAGACTCTTAACTGAACTGACTAGAGAATTCCTGTATGGCTATGCTCGTATACATAATACATAACTAATGAATCAAACGACCTTCGGACGACCATCCAATCCCACCAGACCACATCTCAACGAAGAAAAGGAAATAGGGCTGACAAGCCTTCCTAAGTCATTCAATCATTACTTATATGCATCTAGACAAGCACATACATACATTTAACTACGCTTGAGTGTGTAACAAGTGGATTCTTGTTGTGAAGTATAAGTGTGCCAAAAGTAAGTGTATCACAAAGTAGAAGCGGTAACAAGTGAAGTAGGAGCGGTCGCAAGTGAAATAGGAGTGTCGAACAAGTATAAGCGTATCACGAAGTAGAGACAACATTAAGTGAGGTAAGAGCGTCTATCAGTTATGAGCGACTACAAGTGTAAGTGAAATAGAGACAATAACAAGTATAAGCATTTCGAGAAGTGAAAGCGTTACCAAGTGAGAATATAAAATAAGTATAAGCGAAGCAGCAGTAACTAGCAAGTAAATGTATTCTACGTGGAAGAGAATTTAGTGAAAACCTTGGAAAACCTTTATATATAGGAAAATCGCATTTTGTATTCTTTGATAAAATAAGTGTGAAAACCTTTAGAAATCTTTGGAAACTTTATAAATCGTTTTGAAATGAATTTGAATAAAACAGTATAAGTAAGAGTTTGAAATAGTTTGAAAACCTTTTTGAAAGTCATTATAGTGTCCTACTCGGTAAAAACAGTATACAGTGTGGTAAAATCTTGTGCATGCGGGTTATCAATCACATGTGATTGACATGATAACTGGCATGTTTAACTTGTATTCCCCCCCCCCACCTGTAAAACATGTAAAATCATTTAAAAGGTTCATTCAGGGGTATGAACTCACTTGGTGTAAGTGGATCCGACGAAGGTGCCGGTTGGGTGTCCGGTGTCAAGTAAGGACTTGGACACACTTAGAGACCTATTTAACATATGATAACATATGTTCACATAAAATTAGTATATTTAATACTAATTAAACAAGTATACGCACTCAAAGGAGCGGAAAACACTTTGGTTAAGTGTTTGGGGCGTCCCGGGTAACATTTAAGGGTGTGTATGGCTTAGGAATGGAGTTTACTCTCCGAGAGTAAACCCTCAACACCATGTTTACTGCCCAGGGACTACTCACCATGAGTTTACAGCCGTAAACTCATGGTGAGGGGCTCTAGTGTGTTTTAAGGCTTCAATCTTGATAGTGGGATTTTTCTAGGTCCAATTCCAAAAGGCATGAGTGGGTTTAAGGTCTT